ATATATATAAATTTTATAGATATATAAATATATATACATATATTTTATATATATAAAGCTAGATATTGCAAGACAGAATTGTGGACTTCTTATATGATATTTCTTCTTAAATATAATGTTCTTCAAATATATGCCAAAAAACTCTGGAAAAGGGAAATATGTTGCTGTTTTTCTCTAATACCTTATATTAGCTGTACCTTAGTTTTTAATCATACTTTCTGATTTATTTATATAAATATATAAATATGCATATCTATTATATGTATCATACATACTAGATATTGAAGTTAATAATAGCAAAACAAATTGCTTTTGCACATACAACTCTCATCGGCAGAAATAATCATAGTTACTTAGTAAATATTAGTGATTAATGAATAAGAGAACTATATAAGCATAATAACCTTGCTCTCTAAAGGATAGAAACTTGATACAAAATTGGTTAATATCTTGATTTCAAAATATATGTAGGTTTAAAGATTATCACACAAAGGAAAAGGCATATAGGAAATTTAGAGCATGATCAACAGTATAGTATAATAGTACAACAAAATTAAAATTGTCTTGATCATAGAAAAGTAAATAGAACTCACAAGGAGAATCCCATTGGTAGACATTTTTCTTAAGTTGGAATTTACAAATTATGTCTTCAGGCAATTCAAAGATAACTAATCATTATTGACTTTTGGAAAAGACAGCTTTTTTTTTCATTTTTTTCCTTTCCTATTTTGCCTGTTTTACTTAAATAGATAAAATATATTGTATGTGTCATAATGACCCCACCTCCTACAATTAACACAGGAGTTGTTAGCCCCGATCTGTTACTCCCTTCCTCCAAAATAATACAATTGTTTTACTCAAAATGGATTTCAAGCACTAAATTTCCAGCCTCCCAGAGGCCACACAGCTAAGCACTTTTCCCCCTGTTTTAGTGAAAGTGATGTAAAATGCTAAAGGCCAAGTTTCTTAAGTAAAGGAATTTCAGTCACAAGGTCTGAGCTGTGGCACTAATCTAATCTACTTTCTGTGGTAAAAAACATGACAAAAAGCAACTTAGGAAAGAAAGGCTTGGCCCATCATCAAGAGACGCCCAAGCAGGGACTCCAGACAGGAGCTTGAGGCAGAAACCACAGAGGAATGCTGCTTGTTGGCTTGCACCACAGCTTACATTCAGCACATCTCTCACAGATCCAGACAGGCCACATGTGTAGGGACAGTTGGTCCATGGTTAGCTGGGTGTTCCTACATGTGTTAGCCATCAAAATAAATTGCCCCACAGACAAGCTCCCAGGCCAGTCTTGTGAAAGAAAGTTTCCAGTTGAAGTTCCCTCTTCACAGGTATTTACAGTTGACAACTAAGAGTATCTATCACAAGCCAAGAATCTGGTAGTTAGCAAGTCAATATATCAGCTCTGTAGCAGGTTATAACAAGCTAGTGCGTAGACAAATTAGTCTTTACATTCAGAGCTAGGGTGAAGTTAAGATGTGCTGGACTGGTCCTTCTGTGTATTAGGTGAGAAAGCATTTCCTTGTTCTACAAAGACAGCTTACTTTGTTTGATTTCTGAACCACTAAAGCTCTTTTATTAAAGTCAGCAGTACATCATCTTCAGATGTTATTCTTTATCAGACCTATAGTCCCATTGTCATCTTGATTTCTCTTCTCTCATTGGGTTCACCTGATTAAATGAAAGGTTCTTAACATTATGAATGGGGTCATGCAAAGAAGCACACTGCTAGATTCCAGCAGCATCTTAGTATAGGACAATGGATGTCTGTTTCCTCTACCTCAGAAACCAACAGTCTTACATGCTTTACAGAACTGAGCCTCCAAAAATGTAAGCAAACCTTCAGCCTGTTATTGAAGGTGTGTACGAAAAGATGCATGCCTTTATCTTGAAAACATTAGGATTTGGTGCTGCTATGATGTTCACTTTGTTATATAATTCTGACCTAATACATTTGTTCTACAGTTTTATAATGCATGGACATCAAATATTTAAAATTATTAATGTAATTAACCACAAATATCCATAATATGCTGTTTTTATATGTAAGTCATGATGATGTATGGGCGTGTTTGTAATCAATAAGACTTTTGCTGTTTACTTCCTAAATAATTTTTATTTATAACAAAGATTTGAATAACAATGTCACCTTAGAAATCAAACATAAAGTGAGACTGTGGTCCTATGTATGTGTCAGAATTGATGATCTTGACCCCTGGATTCCAGATGGATCATTAAAGTCAACCCTTCTGCCAGTTAGTCTCTAATTTCGTACTGTGCACTCCATCTGGTAACACACGTGCTTTGTCAAGGGCTTCTGGTCTGCCTTACTTTACACTATTAAATAGATTTCAACAGCAGCTCTCACACAAAAATTTATACATTTATGTTTTAAGAGTATGTATCACAAAAATTCAAGAGCAAAATATAAGCAAGGAAACCAAAAGTATATCAGAATTTAGTTGGGTTACCTAGTCTAGTAATTAGCAGAAACCTGAATCACACTAATTAGTGTTAAGTTTTAATGGCAAATATTAAGTGCTTATTTGTTCATTCTTTTACATATAGGTTAGAGTTCAAATCCAGAACACATGGGAATTCTAGACTGAATAAAAATGAGTTTCTAACAAACACTGAACAAGCATGTAATAAAAACTCACCAGACATCATGAATGGAGCCCTAGGCAATCTCTAAGAGACAATCAGACATTTTTCTATGTAGTCCAAGTTGCTCTTAAACTCAATACTCTCCTGTGTCCACTTTTTTGTCCTCAGATTAGAGGTGCGTACCAACACAACTGTCCCTAGGAAAAATAAGAACTGAGCATAACAATCTAACTTGGTGAATCAGTTAGTTCATTGTTTCAATAAAAATAATGAGCCCTACCACAAAATCCTTGCTTTGAAGCATAAAACATAACCTTTAATCTTCACTAGAAAGGACGACAAATAAAGACCAGATAATTAAGGACAATGTGCGTTTACTCTAGACAATAAGGACTTGGGTTCCCTCCACCCTGAACTTTTCTTAGAACTTCATGGGAAGTCTTCCTAGAGATTTCAACTAGAAATCACATAGTTAGGTTCATGACCATGACTCTAATTCATAAATTATTTGATACCAGATTTCAGAAGAGGCATCTTTACACATGATTGGTACTATTTTTAATATCAATGTCAACAGGCTCTGGATCTGTACCATTGTTCACTGCTTCAGGGCATTTAGATGAGAGGTAGCAAGTCAGTTACAGCAGTTAGAAAATGAACACAAAGCAACAATTTGTTTTTCTGTGACCAACCTAGAATACACATTTTTCATCTAAAAAAATAAAAAGGATGGGGGCTGGAGAGATGGCTCATTGCCTGCTCTTCCAAAGGTCCCGAGTTCAATTCCCAGCAACCACATGGTAGCTCAGAACATCTGTCATGAGGTCTGGTGCCTTCTTATGGCCTGCAGACATACACACAGACAGAATATTGTATGCATAATAAATAAATAAATATAACAAAAAATATAAAATAAAAAGGAAAGAATTGGGGAAGAGAGAAATTAATGGGTCAGTGGATAAGGACATGTGTTGCGGTTAAGTTATTCATACCAGCTAAAAGTTGCTCATATCTGTATATGTCAGCAACCCCACTTTCGATGGACAGAGCCAAGCATATTTCTAGAGCTCTATAGCCAGGCAGCCTAGCAGAAATGGCAAGCTCCAGGCTCAATGATAGACTCTCTATCAGAGGAATCAGGAAGAAAGTAATAGAGTATGATGCCCAACATCAGCCTTTGCCCTCTTCATGTAGTACATGACAATTTATACTGTACACACACACACAAGTGCACACACACGCATTGCACTTTGATGCACATGTGCATACACCAACACCAAAAAGGAAGAAAAGGAAAAATCTATTTAAAGTTGGCACTTATAACATTATTTATTGATTTGAGTCTTTTTTTCTTCTCTAAAACATGCCTCTTACGATGCCATTCTTCGGCTCACACGCTGTAGTGAGTCATTTTAAGTGAAAATCTATTTTATTGATGAGAGAGTGTCTTTCAGTATAAAATATGTTCAGAAAGGAAATCTTGTCATTTAAAATACAACCAGACTAAAAGAGTGACAGGTAGAACGGGCGTGCAATCACCAGCTAAGTATTGTCCACACTGGAATTCAGCAGCAATATTCACAACAGGCTGAAACAGTGAGGGAGGGACAGCAGGCATGAGATGAGACTGTCATTTTATCGGGTAGGGAACTGCTATTTTGGTGCAAGACCATATATTCTTTTCTTTATCCACTGGAGTTGCCAACTCTTCTTTTAGGTGTAGATTATTTTTCTACCACCAAGGGAAGATGCCTTCAGGACTGATGAAGGCATAGATACTGGACCTAAAAAAATGTATGACATGGATGTAAAGTTGGAAATCAGCACTCTGGGCATGAATATTAGCCTGGAGAGGAATGATTCAAAGGACAAATAATTTTTACCATAGATTAATCAGGCTGTAACTTTGTCAGAAAGTGAGCAAAGAGAAATTCTAAAATTCAGACATTTTGTAGTGATACCAATCTGTTACTGGTTCAGAGAACTTGCAGAATTGAACTATTCAGAACTTAACAAAATAAGTGATTCGGACATTGGAAAACATTCATTTTTAAATTATAGAAAAAATAAGCAGGAAAACTGAAAATCAAACAATTGGACAAACAAAAGCTGTTCTTGATGTCCAGATTCATTTCCATCAAAGTCAATGGGACACAAGGCAGGAGTGCTAGGAATTTTTCCCAATGCAAGCTCTCTGCCGGTGCAAATATCCAGTCAAAACAAGCCAAATTAAGAAATATCCAGGTTTAATGGGAGTCCTGCATGCTCGGATGGTCCCAAGGAAGAACCGGGAGGCCACAAACATGACCACCCGAAGGAAGGAAAAAAGGCCATGTTTTTCTCCTTTGAGATCTCACATAAATACTCTGTGGGAGTGTTTGCATGCTGAGATTTGGAGTCCAGACAAATACAGCTCTCAGGCCTGGGGGCTGGGAGCTATGCTCCCAACTTAACATTCCAGATCAATGATTTGGGCTCTCTAGGAAAAAGGGGCATTGACTCAAATCTGGCTACTTCCTGCAAGTATAGGGTGATGTGTGGAAGGGAAGAGCTAGGTGCTGTTGGGTCCACGCTCAGCCAGAGCTGTGGCTGGAAAGGCATCCCATGTACTGTCATCCCAGAGATGTCAGACATCTGTTCCTTGGGGGAGGTGAGAAGGAAGGTGTCTAGGAAAAAAAATATTATTATTACCAAAGATGAGTGTGTCAGGATGAGGAGCAGGTAGGCCTGTAGCGAGCTGCATGGAATCACACCTGATGGAGATGTATAATCAACTCCTGAGATGGCTAAGACCTGACTTATGCTATGATCATGCAATGATTATCAGCTGCCTGCATATGCGTGAATCTATGGGCAGTGCCCACCTGGCAGTTCAGGGTTGGCAGCCCATGCCTACTTAAGGGCTGGGAGAGAAAGAGAGAGAGAGGTCGGAGAGGGAGAGGAGAGAAGAGAGAGGAGAGAGGTTTGCCCAGAGAGAGGAGAGAGGAAAGAAAGAGAAGGAGGAGATAGATTGCTGTGAATAAAGTCCTGGAATAAAACTGCAGTAAGAGCTCCGGTGGTTGTGTCATTCCTTGCAGGACGAGGGTGGCCGTGACATAGGCCCTTCATTGTAGCATCCTGGAAAATTGGATGGTGGAAGGTCCAGTCTGCTAAACAGACCAAGTGTCCTGAGTAGGTGCCCTCTTGAGCCTAGAGAGATGGTACCAACATGGGTCTCCCAGGAGCTGGTGAGGTTTATCGTGTGAGGTCCTGTCCATCGAGGGTCAAGAAACCTAGGAGTTAACTGTTTGAGGACTACTCTGTCCCCTGGGGAGAGCGGGGCAGGTTTACGGGCAATAGGGTCCACTGGTGTGGTGGCAGGGAGAGCTGTCAGCGTGTGAATGGAGAAGGGACCTTAAATGGGAGAGGTAGAATAGGTACCCACCAGTGGAGGAGTTTGGACTGGGAGGTGATGGTTAAGGAGAAAAGGGCCTGCCATAAAGCAGCTCAAAAGGGCTCAGGCCCATAGGGGAACATGGGATGGCCCTGAGGTGAATAAGGACAATGGGAAAAAGGGAGGGCCAAGAGAACCTGAATTCAATGGAGAGCTTGGTTAGTTGTTTGATGAGTCCATTGTCCATCTGGATGGTTTGTGGGACACCAAACCGAGGAATGATGTGGTCCAGGAGTACCTGAGCTACCACATCTGCTGTTTCCCTGGAGACTGGAAATGCTTTTATCCATCCTGTAAAAATGTCCACAAGTGTTAAGAGATAAAGGAGTTTTTTTATGAGTAGGCATATGGGTGAAATCAACTTGCCAATCTTTGCCAGTTGGTGTTTGCAAAGCTGGTGTAGAGACTGACATATGTGGAGAGACCCTTGTGGGTTGGCTTGGGCACACATCTGGCAGAAGGAGTGAACCTGTAAAATACGATCTCAGAGATGGGTGGGGTCAAAAAGGACTCCAAGAAGTGGAACAAAGCTTTGGGGAAATGGCTTAGGACATCTCGACACAGTAAAAGTGCTGGGTATCACTAAGAAAGAATGAGAGAAAAATTGTCCTGCAAGAATGCAGGGTAATGGCAGAGTTTTAAGTGGGGCCATCAACCCCCATAACTGAAATTGATGAGGGGAACATAAGGCTCGAGTGAGAATAAAAGTAATGGACTTACCCATTACCTGCAGCTTTACCTTAGGCTTGGATAGGGTTATGGAGTAAACCAAGTCAGGGCAGCATCAATCCTCTGCAAGGCTGAGAATTTCGAGGGCTGGCACAGTTTCACTTGCCGATGGTGATGCTGGACCTCCATGACATGGCATAGAGGACAAGCCTGCATGGGGGCATTGTGTTTTTGAGTGTCCTCAGAGGAGGTGTAGAGGAGGTGTAGTGCAATATCATGCCACGTGACCATAATTGAAATAGCTTGCCTGTGAGGTTGACTTAGGGTGGGTTCTGTGAGGGTAGAGCCTTGTAGTTGGCTTCCCTTATTCCCCTTTCTGTGACCTTAGGGCGGCTGCTAAGGCCTGGGCCTATAGATTGTTGCAGCTTTGTCTGTTGGGAAGACTCAGCTTCTCAGTCATTAACACTTTAAAGGCCATTTTCACCAATTCTCGTATAGGGGTTTGGGGACCCTCTTCAACCTTTCTTAACTCTTTCCTAAGATCTGGTGCTGACTGAGTAATACAATGGGTAAGCAGAAGGATTAGTAGAAAAGAAACCTAGCTGCTTTTCTGAGAGAAATCTAGAAGAGAAAATGGAACTTGGGGAGGATTGGGAAGGGCTAGTCCAGTGCACAGAGGGGGTCCGAGAGTAGGGGGATGACGTATGAGGGTGAATGGAAGGTGAGTAAGGTGCACATTGACCTTGAACCAAGGGAGGGGGTTGAGTAGTAAGGGCTTGAGGGAGTGTGGGAGGGGCCAGTGCCTCTGGCAGCATAGTGCTGCAAGACACTGACTACTAAGGGAGGGGCGAGAGCGCAGAGCCCAAAAAATCGTGGACATACATAAGCTCTGTCCACTTGTCTTTACAGCAGCAAAAATTTTCTAGGTCCCAGAGGACAGTTAAGGCCAAATCTTAGAGCATAGGGAAATTAGCCCTTTGGGACAGATGGTATCTGACAGACAAGCCCAATTTTAAAAGATTTTGTAAGAGGCATCCCAGGGGCAACAGCAGATCTGGCTTTGAACTGCATGTTCCCATTTTAAAGTCTATGCCCAACCAAGAGGCCTAAGTCTATTACAGCACATCCATCAAAATAGCTCTCAGGCCCAAAGGGGTTGTGGAAATTGAATGCTCGGTGTCCTAAAACAAACAAATCCCACCTCAGCCAAGCCCAGTCTTGATGGTCTGGCTGCTGCTGGTCAAACTCTTGACGCGAGCTCACTACTTCAACAAGAGTTCAATAAACAACAAAAGTAAGTATGAATGGGTCCCCCCCAAACCCTATACATAAAAGAAAAGATACTCACCA